ACTAATTTTTTCGTTTTTTCTTTCCATTATTATTTTATTTTGCCATTTTATTTTGCCAAAATCTATGTGCATTATATTAGTTTTGTATTTTTGCTTAATATATATAATATATTTAACTCTTCGTGAACTAAGTGGGGTGTGACATACCCCAGCAAGAATTTCTATTTTATTCTAATTCATTCATTTCCTACGACTTTTGCTTTGCGCACAATTACTCAACCCATGCGCACAATTACTCGACGCGCGAGAAATTTTTTCGCTTTTCCGTTTTTTCCATTTTGCTAAATACAACCTTATTGAATGAAAATCTGTTCAATATAAGGATACGTAATGGTAGAAGAATGTTTATAGTTTCTATTTCTATACTTATATCGCTTTGAACTTGGAAAACCATTCCAGGACAATAAATTTCCCTTAGGTGCGCACAATTCATCCACTTTCCCCTACAATATTACTGTTGTCTATAAATAATTTATGACCGTGTCCTTCTGGGGAATATTATCGCGACCTAATTATTTGCGACTTATATTACTGTACGTATATGATTATTACGTATTGGTGATCGGTAATAGTATTATCATCTATTTCCTGTCAATCTCGCCTGCCATCGCGTCGACTATCGCTGAGCGTAATGAACGTAATTTATGTAATAGAATGTAATAGGTGAACGCGTTGGTCTCATCACTGTTGCTGTGATCTTGAACGATTCTTTGTACGGTATCCAAGGATATGATCGACAGGAGTATCGTCGATCGACGATCACCACGAGAGTTCATTAGAGTACGCTTCCGGCACGTATTTATAAATCGACAGAATATTCTGTGAGAAATCGAGGGATATTACGACTGTATGTAGAGGAATAGATGAATGAATAAATTCGTGATCTATTATCTTAACGTTTATTTTTTTGCAGCATAAAATGCGTCATATCGATAATAGAATTTCAAAGCTTTGAAATTTATTGATATAATTAAATGAGAAAGTGGAAATTAATAATACACTCAGCGAATTATTGATCTAGTTATTGATAGTTTGTATTGATTTATAATATATTTCATTGCAATGTACTTGCAATATATTTTAATGTAAGTATTGTAAGATATTTACGATCATACGATATTGGGCGTGCATGTAACATATTATGCAATGTAATCACGAACTACGATGAAAGAAAGAACTCTACATTCGGCTTTCACTATTGCATAGCGTCATCGATGATCGCATTGGAGCGTAAATATTACAGTCGTGTTAACTGAACATTCTTTGATATCTTGAACACAGCACTATCTTACATTCTCTTATCGCGGGAGGCTGTATATCCGAAGATTCTCCACGCTGTAAAAATTCGAACCAGCGCCAATTACTGCTTCGCACGTAAATCTTCTTCTTCCCGTGGACCGAATGCAGCCTTTGCTCGCGTGACTGAAATCCGAAAGAATTTTTATACCCTATAATTGTGGGAAGGAAGATCCGTGGCGCGGGCGGCTCTTTCGCATCGATTTCGCGCCGGAGATCGTCTGATGGCCGTCTTTAACTCTTTGCGAATCGCGCCGGCCAATTTCGTAGATTGGCGAGCGATCTGTTCGAAACTTTATTAACGTTTTCAAGATCTTTCCATTGTTGGAGCCCATGAACAAACGTATGCCTTCGATCAACTTTTAAGAGTCCATCGAGTTCCACCTGGAAATTAATGAAGTTGAATAGTTAAGAAATATATTTATTTAATGTTTCTTAAGTCATTATGTTTCCAGTATCCTGACTCTTAATGACAATGTTGGTATTGTTATATTGTTATTATGGAAGTATTATTCAAGTAGAACACAAAGTCATAATAAAATCATGTTAAATTATGTTAATTTCTGAATCATTATTATGATATTTTGGGTTGCTTCAAGATCATTTTTAAGAGACTGTTTCGTCTTTTTCTATACTTTTTTATGAAACTGAAACAAATATAATATTTTATTTATATATAATAACAAGATAATTTTAATATAACGTTATAAAATTCAGAAAATAAAATTTTTTGCATTGTCAGATTCTTAAAAAATAATAAAAGAAGTGTATTTATCTATGTGACAATCTTGCGTTTCGCGGGTTTTCTCCGTGTTATGAAAGCCTCAAGAATATTAAGTGTATTTATCTTTTTCGTATCTCCTATGATTTAGCATTTAAGTCAAATATGTGTCTCAAGATAAGTGCCACGGAGACATCATGAATATAATAAAAAAAAGCGCAACGATAATATAACAATATCAACACTGTCATTAAAAGTGGCAGAATAGGAGTCTACTCGACAAGAATTAAGACCTCATACGGATAAAATAAAAAATAGACGTATATCTCATTTAAGCTGTTTAGTTTCATTAGGCAAAAAATCATTAGATTGATATTTATATCGTAAACGTTGCACTTTTATCACTTGTAAATTATGATTGCACGGCGTTTTTCTGCATTCTATACTATACTACTGACAGGTACTTACCCGGAGCAATTCTCGGGAAGGCCTTCGGAAGGTTGCGATCTTGTTCGCTTTCGCTTTGTGAAGCGTGTGCGTGCATGCGTGCAAAATATTCTTCTCTATTGCCAAGAGCTATAACAATTTATGCTATGTGACACTGTATGTAACGCACATTGTGGGTTCATTGGAAATTCCTTCACGTCCCCTACTTTCCGGTCGGTATCCCAGCGCTGTTATCGAGTCTTAGAAAATTCTCTTTGTCACGTATAATAAGTAATATAATGTTCGTTGTAATTAAAATACATGTAAGAACTAATTTAAAAGATACAAAAAAATATTAGAAATATTAATATAAGAAATTTCTTAATTGTTTTTGAAAATATATAACTTCATCAATATTATCAACAAAAGCCTTATTATTTTATTTAATCAAATAAAATTAATAATCAGTTATTATTAGAAATATTTAATATAAACTTTTGATGGCGTTTTGCTGAAAGATATATCCACTTTGTATATTTTATATAATTTCTGTAAGAAACTTGTAATAATTTATAAAAAAAAGTTCAAGAAGTAGAAATCTTTCGTCTTCTTTTTCGGATAAGAAAGGCTCTTGAATATCTTCGATGAAACACCAGTTTTTGTTTAGAGCATGACTCGATAATTCAATAATATTTGCACCAATACGTCACCGTTTGCCTACCAAGCTACCCACATCAATGTAGCGAGATGTTGCCTTTCTTTTTTATTCCGAGATGATTTCGTGGACAATCGTATAACGCATATCCGCCCACGTGGCGTAATTGTATTGTAGCCGAAGAAATCTTAGCAGCTTAAGGCGGAAGAAAAGTCAGTCCTAAAAGGCGGTCTGTCTCGAGCGAAGTATCGAGGCCCCTTAACGGGACCTTACCATTGGCCATCCGCCATAAATTACACATTATATCGCGTAAGAGCCAACCCACGTGCCGGTAGATCGTAGAGTGCTCGCGAGATGCATTTTTCTTGGCCGTTCGCATGATTTACGGCTGACTGTAACCCTCCGAAAGTTGGAAGTCGGATATCGTTGCATCTCTTGCTGTTTATATCTCCACGCGTTTTAATGGATTATTGAAGAGTTCACTCGTAAACGGATAAGCCTGTTAATTATTCTATTTTATTTCTACTTTTCATATTTTTCAACTTTTTTTCTTTATGAAAGCATTTTTTCAAGTTACATCGGTATGTCTTTCTGTAATACAATTTTCTTTTAAATATATTTGTCTCCGTAACGTTATTCATTGTAAGTCTCCTTTTTGTATAAAAAGAACACTTACGATTATGTCGTATATAAATTTAATGAGTAATATATTATACTGTATTATTTATATTTGTAAGAAAATTTCCTTTCTATTTGATTGTTATAAATTTATTTGATTAGTAGGCTGTTAATTTTATCAATTTAAAATTATATGTACGAATCTTTTTATAACTATGATAATTTAATGTATGATAACAAAGGTGACGAGGATAACACGCGTATTCTCACAAAGATGTGAATTAATTGTCAGTGATTCCTAGCTTTCTTCATGTTTGTCATTTATTATCGCTTCATAAGTCATCTCAAGGGATGGCCACGCCGACCGATAGTCTTACATCGACTAATCGAGTATATTTGAGTGATGTAGTATCCGTTTTAGAGCGTACATCGGTGGAGCCGTTAAAAAGTTACGCCCGTGTTCGAAGATAAATTTCTCATCTCGCAATAATAATACGGAACAAGTGGCACTGACCCGGCATAACGGTGCCACATCGGCGGAACATGATTTGCCGGTACATCAGAATTGATGTCGTAAATTTTTCGGAGCACGGTTCGCGTTTCCGACTTCGTCGGAAAATAATTTATGTACGTTTTCGAGCACGATCTCTCTACTCGTAGGTGGATACTCCGTCGGGGGCCATCAGAGTTCGTACAATTGAAATATCCGCATACCGGGATCACCCATGCGCGAAACAATACATTCAGAAATGAAGCGTATTCTGGCTACCTTTCTTATGGGACTAATCTCTGAGGAAACGAGGATAAGAGCACAAGAGATATCTAAGCTAAGCTTCTTGCCGACTTGCTGCTAGTAAAATATATGTAGTATTAACAAAGCCGAAGAAATATGAGAGGGGTACACATTTTTAAACAGCGGCACTATTTTATAAGACGGATTTTCTAAAAAGTGAACGAAAATATCTTTCTCAGCAATCAATAAACTAGTAAATAATTATTCTCTGTAGTATGTTACAGAAACTTCCTCGAGCGTGACGTAATTCATTGAGTTCAATTAAAATTACATAACAATTTTTCAATTTGTAAAAATTTCCTTCTTCAATGATAAATAATAGAATTTTACTATCATTAGTTCTAAGCTGATTATCTATTATCTATGTGTGCTATGAAGATAGATCATTTGTATAATTACAACCTGTTAGCTTTGCAATGCACAAATATATTGGCGTCAGTCATTTATATAACATTTAATATAGAAGCGTAATATAATTAATAAAAAATGACTAACTTTCACTCTGTCTCTAATTGGATCAAGGTTTTTCATCGTTGAAGTCAAGCAGAGGCGGTGTTTTCCTTTTATCATCATCATATTTGTTCCAGATAGGCTGTACTATGTTCCTATTAATAACCGTTTTATTGATAGTAGCTGATGCCTCCGAATCTGTAATAAAAACAATAAATGTTTTATTAGTGTAGATTTCAAACAGCTACTCATATCAGAACACAAACCTTGTCTGGAATGTTTCCTTAACATGTAGCTACATACTTTTCCAAACCAACCCTCGTTAAGTTTTTCGCGAAATTTCGGTGTGGTGAAAGTGTACAACAGCGGATTAACCGCACTATTTACCGGCAGAATAAAAATCACTATCCAAGCGTGCAAATCAGCTATAAATTTTATTCACTTATTAATATTATTTAAATGTGTTACTAAATGTCTGAATTTATATTAATACTTTTGTCATAGATCTTATATATATTATTTTAATATACATATATTCGTATATATGCATTCTATGTTTTTCACTGTCGCTTAAAAGTATTTGTCCACTTTGTCTTCCTTAATTACTTAAATCAAGAAAAATGAATTTTTCAATGTTCTTTCTTATTCTTCTAGATGTTATACGTAATTCATACGTAATAATAATGTTTGATGATTCTAAATTTTGCATTCTATATATACATATACATATAAAGAGAACATAATAGAATGATTACGGAATTTAGGCATATAAAAAAGATACATACAAAAATCGGGACAGATAAATACTTTTGAACGGTGGTGTATGTAACTTTTACAATTTTAATTCTAAGAGATTAGACCGATGAGAATAAATCAAATTAAGAAAGAGAAATCTTATTTTCGATCAAAGTAGATCTTAATGTTTAAATAAGTACTAAAATCCTCTTTCATTTATGTAGGACTTATCTTTCTTAATTTGATTTATTAAATTCACACCGAAATATTTAAGCACTAAGATCCGCTTTGATCGAAAGTAGGATAAATGTCTCTTTGAAATATGATATTTTTTTCATTAGTTATTGGTTATTACCGAAGTCTCGATGGTCGAAATGAGAAGACGCCTACTTATAGAAATACAGGACTCGAAAATACAAGAGATCCGGATTCGAATCCCAGCTAAGGTAATTTCCGTAATAAAATTACTTCCAATAAGAGTCTTATTAAAATCAAATTATTATCTAATACTTTTATAAAATGTTTATTAGCGTAAAAAATGATTAATTAGATACATACATATCCAATTCTATAAACCGCGCGCCGAAATCTTTTTCAATCTTGAAATCCAATCATGGACAGAATTAGAATAACGGTATCACATATTAAATTGATACGCTGATTAATCATTTTTTACGCTAATAAACATTTTATAAAAGTATTAGATAATAATTTGATTTTAATAAGACTCTCTCTCTCTCTCTCTGTCTTACTGGAAATAA